AAGAGTCATTTTATGTGCAATCCCAGTACCTACAATTATACATGTCTTGTTCTTTGTAAGCATATTATTATGAATAAAATAATTACTTATTATTAATATTATGAAACTTACAAAATGGTACTATTAATTTGGGCCATTAATTAAATAATGTCCAGATAGGTTTGCTGTGCTGCAAAGACATTGATAGATACTTAGAATAACAGAGGATAAAAGACAGACACAACATTTAGATAAATATAAAGATTTGAGCTTTTAAGCCTAATTACAGGACATGTATAAAGTGCTATTTTTCATTGTTGCCCATGTAGTAGTGATGGTTTTATGGAGTCCTGCCTCCTTCTAGCCAGGTAAAGTTAGAAACCCCACACTTGGCTATTTGTTTCTAATTTTAATCCCAGAGGGTCATTTTATTCGGCAGCGCCACTCATCCTGTGAGGGAACGTACCATCACATCAGTATAACGTTAGTTTACTGTATGTGTATGTGTTTTGGTGATTAGGAACAAAGAGTTTAGTGATTTCTTATACTATTTATTAGTACTGTATAGTCTTGGTTACAGCCATCGGTTAGTTGGTAATGTAGTGAAGTGTTGTAGTAGTTAAGACAAAACCTGTAGCAGGGCAGAGAGCTGAGTGAGGCTGGGGATAGTGAGCTCGGATGCAGGGTGAGTGCATAGAGCGTGGCACTCTGAAAACAGGTGGCGTCGAGAAGCTCGAGTGCGGGACGAGAGTGCGGAGGCTCCGAAATCTGGTTGTCTGCTCTGTGTCCTGGCTGACGAATCTTGCGAAGGTTGAACTGGACTTGTCGAGTGTTACATTGTTGTTGGTGAATGTTTTAGATGTGTACTCACTTAGTTGTGCTTGCAGGGGTTGAGCTTTGGCTCTTTGATCCTGCCTCTTGACTGTCAATCAACTGGTGTAAAGATGCTTGAGCCTATTGGGCTCTATCAAATCTACATTTGAAACTGTGTATAGAATCTGCCCCACCACATCACTGCCTAATGCATTCCATTTGTTAACTACTCGGACACTAAAAAAAAAATTTCTAATGTCTCTGTGGCTCAGTTGGGTACTACATTTTAACCTGTCTTCCCTTGTTCGTGTTACACCCATGCTAAATAGTTTGTCTTTGTCCACCCTGTCAATTCCTCTGAGAATTTTGTAGGTGTTCTCTTTCCCATGGTATTCCCATTAGGAAGTTCCTCATCTCGTCATCTCATGTGTGGTATCTCTCAACCATTTGAGTTTTAATGACTGAAATGATGTGCTGTCGAAGCTTATACTGTACGGTATTGCAAGCTTCCATCTCACCTAGTCAAACTGACCATCATCTAGCGGGTTGGGAAGAGATATTAACTTTAATTAGTTGTACACTTGGAAATTGTAATTAGTGGACCAAGAATCATTGTAGGACTTTTAGGAATGTGATAACTTGGAGATAGGTTATGTAGAATTAACAGGCCAAACTCATTATCTTCACATACGCTAATGAAAATATGGGGCAAGTATATTACCTACATAATACACTTCCTACTGCAGCATATACAACAACTCCCCTAATAGGAAGAAAACCAGCTGGGTTGTTCATCCTGTCACTTAACTGTACCCAGATGCAGCTGAGACTTGGTCGTCTTTCAACCTGTTAAGTGCAGGATTCCTTCCACCCTTGAGTCTGTGTTGGACCTCTTATTTTAGGCAAGCTGCCATATCAGGTGGTGGTCAGTCACAGAACACGATATGTATTGTACACGAGAATCCCTAGTTTATGAGTGAATGTATTCTTAAGAAATAGTGTTAAATTGGTTGGCTATTGCCAGCACATTATAGTATTTATTAAGATTATGGGAAAATAGGATGCATTCCTTAACAAAAACATTTTTTGTATAAAAAACAGAGACAGTTAAAGAAAAGGTTTATTTAGCAATAAATGTACAATAATGATTTTGCATTTTTTGAATTGTATAACTAATTACACATTATACAGTAGTACAAACAACTTCGTCGTGTAAAACAAAAGTCTTAAGTCTTTGTTCTCCAAGGGAAAAGAGAGGATGAGGGTAAAGACTGTATGGTTGTGTTTACTTAGTGTACTTTCATCATACGAGGCAATGAAATCGAGATTTTGTTCAATATTTTCAGATACAGAATATGATAAGTGCTCTGAATGCATTTATAAAGATCACCATCAATGGGAACAATATTAAAAGCCATTAGAGTTATGGGAAGCCACTGACATACAGATATATAAAATAAAATTCTATGGTTGGTTTCAATTTTAAATTTAATGTTTAGCTCGCCCTCTTGGACGAGTCATGGAACTACTGTATTTTTAAAACAGAAATGAGATTGAAAACTATGCAGAGGTGAGTTTTCCTGGCAATCATTCATAATAAGACGAGGTGAAAGTATGATTTCACTCAGTAAATTTACCCATAGAGCATGGGAAGTAAGTAGATATGAACATCTCCCTTTAATGTTGTGCAAATTGTATTTTTAAGGATCTGTTTAGAATACTGTAGTTAAAATTAGAAGAAAGAGTTGGGCCAGTGAAAACTAATAAGCTTTCACATTTTTCAACATCAGTGATGCCCATCTGAAGTTTATAACAGAGTTAAATATGCTAAACCAATAAAGCAAGAAACTTATAAAAATATCAACCTAACCTTTCATAGACATAATATATTAAATTATGTAATTTACAGCTCAAATCCCTCATGACAACCAACTTATGTTTGAATCCATGTAACAATGGATTCAAACTGGAAAAATTTAGATTTAGAAAATACACCAGTATAAACATTGGTTGTAAAATAGTATTGTAGATCAGTATAACAATTTACAAGATTACATTATAGAAGCAAACTCTATGAAAAGTTTCAAGCATAAGTTGAATAAGAACACGATTGGGAGTGACTGGAAATAAATAGAAATGGTCTTGCATGGACCAACAGATTTTTTTTCTTCTTTTGTTCTTATATTCTCATGGTTTTTAATGATCAACTGTGAATTACATCCTCACCAGCTGGTGCACAGTATCTCATCAAACAAGAGATATATGCTCTCCTACAGCCCTTTTATCTGTCTTTGTGACAACACAACCCAATGATTGTGATGACTTGCAAAACACCCCATTTTGTCCCATACGTACCATGGGTGAATAATTGCTCTTGTTGAGGGTCTAGTCTTTAACAGAAAAGCATTATTTTCTACTGTACATGTAAGTTGCTTGCAATGTAACTTCATTATTTATACAGTTCTAAACATTGTTAGTGGAAGCTTAACATAAACTATTTTAAAAAGTCTGCTCTACATAACTGCTAAATCTTTTAGCATAAAATTACACACACACACACACTCACTCACTCGCTCTCTTGGGAATACGGGTGAAAACTGAGTACAAAAATTAGCCACAAAGAAATTGGAAAGAACTTTTTCAGTGTTATAGTAGTTAATAAATGGAATGCATTAGGAAATGATGTGGTGGAGGCAGAAAAGATCATCAGGGTAAATGGGGGGGACCTTTGACAAGCCGCTGGCTTCCTGTCCTCATCGTGACCACTAGTATTAGTGGCCCTCAGGTAAAGTCAGATAAATATGATAGAGCTCAATAAGCTAAGGAACATGTACACCAGTAGATTGACAGTTGAGAGATGGGATCAAAGAGACGTAGCTCAACCTTCACACACAGGGTTGTACTCGGCTAGGTGAGTACACATTGCACACACACCCACAAGTAATGTTCATCATCTACATAAATTATCTATTAGAAGGAATATAGAATTATACGAACATGTTTGTGGATGATGATAAGATACTGGAGAAGATAGGAGACGCAGAGGATTGTAATGCCCTTCAAATTAATCTAGATAAAATAAGCGCTTGGAGCATCAAGTTGCAAATGGAATTCAATGTGAATAAATGCCATGTTATGGAATGTGGAATCAGAGAAAATAGACCACACACAACTTACATATTATATGGAAAGGAATTACAAAATTCTAATAAAGAACAAGACCTAGGGGTGGTTTTGGATAGTACGCTGTCACCAGAGGAACACAAAGAAAATTGTGAGAGGAGCACATGCATCGCTTTCAAACTTCAGACTTGCTTTTAATTATATTTGGATGGTGAAATACTAAAGAAACTGTTCATGACTTTTGAGAGACCAAAACTGGAATATGCAGCAGTTGTGCAGTCCCCAAATCTCAATAAGTACATAAATAAAATGGAAAAGGTGCAATGGCATGCTAAAATATGGCTTCCTGAACTGAAAAACAGAGTTATAAGGAGAGACTAGAGGCATTAAACATGCCAAAACTAGAAGAAAGAAGAAAAAGAGGTGATATGATCTCCACTTACAAAATACTAACAGGAATAGACCAAAATGACAAAGAGGAATTACTGAAACCAACACCTTCACGAACAAGAGACACTGATTCAAGGAAACAGAGGTGTCGAAAGATTATTAAAAAGTTTTTCTTTTGCAAACAGAGTGGTAGACAGAACAAGCTAAGTGAGGTGGTGGTGGTCAAAAGTGTAATATGACAGAGTATTGGGAAGATGGGACACCACGAGCATAGCTCACATCCTGTAACTACACTTAGATAATTACACACACATACACACTCTAGATGGGAATTAATGAAGCCCATTGAACTTAGGTTCCTACTATATTCAATTATACACTTATCAGTTTAACTTCCAAACATTACCAATGCAATTTTTTTTATAAACTCACAATAATGTGATAATTTTTAATAACTTTGATATTTAAACTAATTCAACATTATATTGTGTTTTTTTTTGTCACACTTGATTGCATACTTAAAAGCTTCTGCAGAAAAACTACCAACCTGTCAATTTCACTCAATCACTCTCCTGTTTAACTGGTGACAATGACTCATTATACGTTGTCAGTGAAGCCTGTTAAGCACTATTATGTTAGTTTGTGACAATGTATTATATATATGTAAGGTATGTTTAATGTTTGTTTGTACTATACATATAATGGCATACATGTGTGAAAATATATGTATACTATGCATCACATGCTGTGAAACAGAGAGCAGTCCTGTACAAAAAAAAAATCTTATTCTGTTACATACTTGTACCATACATATGTATCTTGCATATACTGTACATACTATGCATACACTGTTAAGGAATTTATATACATACATTGCATATACTGTATGAGTTCCTGACTAATCTTGCACCAAGGGGAGCAAACAAGAACAAAAAAAATGGGAACAAATCTGCCACTTTACACCTACATATATAATAAGATGTTAAGTGCAGAACACATGGGAGTTGCCATAATGCAAGAAAGAAATCTAAAAAGTGTATACAATACAGTGTGTGTGATATCTGGGCATCGTGCGACAAAGTATCACCTTGGTTGTGAGAATCTCGCACTCTAACTTGCGTATGAGTGAACTTCTATGATAACACTCTGAACGTGGGTTTAATTAACAAATTCAGCATGTCTGAATTTACATGCCCCAAATCTTTGAAAAGTTTGCAGGAAATATCTTGCAGTGCATAATTATTACATTAATAGATTAGTTTCAATACAAAAAGAATGACAATAAGATATGGAATAGAAACAGAAATTGATCATCAACATATCTGGCATTTAGGTTAAACAATGTACAATTCATTATTTATATTTCACCGGAAATTGTTGCAGATAATTTATTATTAAAAATCAGTTTAAAGTGAAGGTCTTTTATCCAACACATTTAAATAAAAGATAATACTACATTTAAAACATAATAATAAATTTGATAAACATCATCTGTTACAAACTAAGTAGTGAATATTCTTTGGAATGAGCACTAGATATACAATACTAAAAGCTCAGAGTTTAAAGTTATTTACACACCTTTGAGCGGAACTAGAAAATTACTGCAACTGGAATGGATGAATCCAGGATGATTTCCTAGTCTGAAATATGAAGACTGCTAGATTTATCGTAGTCTCCCTAGGTCAACTAAGGACCATCCCAAGGCTGCAACTCACAACTATTGCCAAACTCCTGTGGTAACTATTTACTGCTAGGTGAACAGTGACATAAGGTGTAAGGTCCCCCCCTAGGCTGCAATCCACTGCAGTTGCCAAATTCCTGGGGATCTATTTACTGCTAGGTGATCAGAGGAATCAGGTGAAGAAATACATGTACATTTTTTATGGGAGTGTATGTATTATCTTTCCAATTGCACTGGATAACAAAAATATATATACATAGGTATATATAATTGGTCATATTCCTTTAACAAGGCATAATGACAGGCTTGGTTTAAATGTTAAAAACCTCTTGATTTTCCACACCTGTGGACGGAATATTTGCAAATCACAGTACGGCAAGATGATACAGCACATATAGCACTGCATACATACTCAACATACATATATGTATAGTATACATTTGCATGTGAATGGGCATGTATGTCAATGTAGGTACATGCTGCACTTGCAAAAATGTACTAAGGCCTCAACACACACCCATGATAGAGCCCAATAGGCTCAGGAACCTGTACACCTGTTGATTGACAGTTGAGTGGCGGGACCAAAGAGCTAAAGCTCAACCCCCCCAAGCACAACTAGGCGAGTACAACTAGGTGAATGCACCCGGCAGGTTAGCAAATGCTGCTAACTCTAACCCTGAAGTATTACAGAAATTAACTAGAATTTATGCAGCTAAATTTATTACATTAAATATTGATTAATTAGTGAAATGTCAATCACTACCAGATTTGTATTTTATTATTTATATATATATATATTATTACAAAATGTACAAATATTCAGTAAAAAAAAAAACTTAAGTTACAATATACATAAATCAATAAATTGTTATAGATTTTTCTCTGAAGCTCCACAAAGATCATTGCTCAAGTCTGTTCAGTCTCTCTCACTGAACATGAACCGAGGGTCAACGAGTCGTGTTAACTGTTAGGGAGCTATGTGCACTGGCTTTGTTCTTCAGCTCGGGAAAGCTTTCTGTTAACTGTTTTTAATTTTAAAGTAATGGTCTGATATTGTAAGGTAGACTGGGTGAGCAACCAAATGGTTACATAGCTCAGAAATATGATCAAATACTCTTCCCTTAGCAAATCCCTTCTGTTACTCCCATTCCTTCTCTTAGTGGTTACTGCTTTCCCAAGCATGCTTGCATGGCTTCAAGTGATGCCTGTCAGCTTCCTTGATTGTTATGTCCATGTTGCCATTTAGTGACAACTGGTGTAGCAGTTAGTTACAAGATAGAATTTAACAGCACCATAAATGTTTTTCCTTGTAACTCCAATAATTGTTTCCAAGAGTTGTTAAGTGTATAATTCTGTTCTTTTGTATGATAGTGAGCAGTCATTCAATGATAGAATAAGATGGGCTCTTCACTTGTCTCCCCATCCTAGCTACTTGACAAGACCATGTACAATGAACGTTGCCACAGTGGGGGCGACAGGTCAACTAGATTATGGCATTTATATTGCATACATTGCCGGAACAACCGTGGACATCTTCAAGAGGAAACTAGATTTATTCCTCCAAGGAGTGCCGGACCAACCAGGCTGTGGTGGGTATGTGGATCTGTGGGCCGCTCCAAGCAACAGCCTAGTGGACCAAACTCTCACAAGTCAAGCCTGGCTTTGGGCCGGGCTTGGGGAGTAGAAGAACTCCCAGAACCCCATCAACCAGGTATCAACCAGGTATACATGGCGAGTCATAAGGATCTGGCTTGGGAAGAAACTGAGGCACTAGATCAGCAAAGAACCTTTCACTACATACAACACCTTGTTCTTGCATTGATGTCAGAATGATGATATGTTAAAACTATTTTATACTTTAAATAATTCTATACTTACTATAAATCATACAAAATATTATCACAAAAGGTTTAAAGAGTATTTCTTTCCCAAATACTGTGGTTAAAATGCATACAGTCAGCGTCTGATTCCAGCATTGATAAAAATTAAGATGCCTTTCATTTTACATATAAAAAACAAAGCCATGTAAGTTTCTAATATCATATTCAACATATTTGTTTTCAAATTTCTCTTCTTGCTTTGCTCAGAGTCACTTGAAATTTACAAGACTCCTCCATAAATAATACTGTATTTACTTAAATGTATTTGTATTGTACATAAATGCAGAATTATTATTATACGGGATTTAAATATCATCACTATTAAGTATTTAATTCAAGAGTATTTCAAGAATCACAGTTCTCTAATAATACAAGAGGTACTTTTCACTAATAACATACTCTGTAGTTAAAACCAAAAAAGTTCATTATCACTATCACAAAACATGAAATTACTGTAACCTCATCATCATAATAAAATGCTTAAGCAATAACTTCAAAGCCATTCTCAACTTCAAAATGACTGACAACATGAGATTCAAATGATTCCTGAGGAATAATATGAGGAAATACAGCATTACACATAGGACATATGCGGTCTTCTTCATCTTCGAGAGCTGGGTCCGGTGACGTACTCACTGTCCGTGTGTAAGGTCTTGTCACATCGTTCTCACGCCCTTCATCATCACTCACCTTGGAGTGAAACAAGAAAAATTAAAAATCATAACTATCATATACTTAAGTAAAGCTACAACCTTTACCCTAAGAAATCACTTATTTGTCATTTCGTTCCATGCCAAGTTTCCTTTGCTTAACTACCATCTCCGATTCTCAAAACTGTTGACCATTTTATGCTCAATTTCTACGCAAACATATTTCATTTTGATCTGACATGTCTTTAGGTTCACAAAGTAGTCCTGCAGTTTGTACACTTGTGATACTTTTTATGTCCCAAGGATTAATGTACAAGACAAATCAAGAATGGATGTTGTCATATTATCTATAATTATCTGAGAGATTCCTCCAGAGAATATATTCAGATTCTTATAGCTTTGCTGTGAATGGTTACCATAACAATCATCCATCACAAGAATTAAAGGGAAGATTCCACGTCTGCTCATAAGACACTAAGGGTAAAGTTGCCAATCTCCAGACATTATTATCGAATAAAATATAGTAAATACTAGTATAGTTCAAAAACATATTGAAATGTGAAAGGTATCTTATAGAAACCTGTTAAAATGAATATTATAATATAAATACTTCCATGGTTCAGTAAAAATTTTGTAAAAATCATCAGAAAGTTTAAATTTTTTATGGGCAAATTTAAGAGATTATATTTGATTAGTCCTGTTTTGTTTTTGGGCAGCTGTAAGATACTCGAACAGTAATGGCACAAAGATAAGATATCTAGAAAGGAGCATTATGGATTTAAACAGGGTTTGAGAGACTTTAAAGTAGTCAATCATGTTTCTGGAATTTTAATACAAAAAAACAATTACAGTACTACACTGATAAGATAATGTTTATTCAGGTAAAAGAACACATATTCAAAATGAGCTACAAACATAATGTTGGATTTCTAGATATAGCTAGTACATACTATGCATAAAGCCACTAATTCACTCAGCATTTTGGGCATGGTGTGGGAAAAACACTTAAGACTAAAACTTATACATGACGGATAACAGCAGTTAAACAAGTTGGTCAATAAATAATATTGTTTGAAAAAAGCAAGACATAGGTTGACATTTAGGAGGTAAGATGGGTTACATGGGGTTTGTTAGGTAGTACTTGGATTTTCTCTTAAACTGATTGAGAGAGGTACACAGTCTTTGACATAATTGGGAAGGTCATTCCACATTCTGGGTCCCTTAATTTGCAGAGCATTTCTAGTTTGGTTAAGTCGCACTCTTGGAATATCAAATTAGGTATTTGTTTCTGGTGTGTAGAAACTGCATCTCTAAATCAAGTGAAAATGGTTCCAACACATTCCAATCGCAATATGCTACCTTGCATATTAATATCAGACTTTAACAGTCATTGATTTCTATGGAAAGAGCCAGCAAACAAGGGAATACCTGGCCTTTACCTCCACACACTCTCAAACACTATTCTCCAGATACCCACTAGAATAACCCTTGTTAACCAGATATGTGAATCTAAGTGTTGCCTAATAGAATGAAAATGAAGAGAAATATAATACAGATCATAATATAAATTATAGTGGCAAAATTCCTCTACAAATGGGTAATATGCCTTGCCATCTGGAGATCGGCACCAAGGATGTCTGGTTACTTGATGTTAAATACAGTGCTCATTCTAGTGTAATTATAGACTGTAAATTAATGTCTCTTCTCTTGATTCACTTGAGAAGGTTTGCAATACAGTAAATCTAATATAACTATTTTTCAGTCCAAGAATATAACTTTCTGCAGTGTCTGGTGACCAGCAAATTTACCAAAAGTAAAAATTTAAATACAAGAAAACAAGTTTCATATAGTTTATGAAGCAAATAGTAAAAAAAGAACACAAAAGCAAACTTAAGTTTAATTTTAAATAATTGTTATTATTTATATTTCTAGATATGTTGTCTATAATTGGTATGAGAAACAAACATCCCCATTATGTTAAGAGATCATTACCTGAACTTGTCTCCAATCAAACGGACTGTTTGGTCGATCCTCTACAGTATTATTTGCATCCATGTGAACATTATTATCACCGTTGCTGTCATCCATCAGCGGACTTTAAAGAAAACTTTAATTAATATGGATATAATAAACTGGGAAATGTAATGAAGGTTGAGACTATGGATTCATCAGATTCTAAACTGGTCATCTACCATTAAAGTAACATGAAATATTATATAATGATACACTTTTTTCAATAAACCAAACCAAACTATACAACTAAATTTATCACAACACAGACATGTAAAATTATTTTATCAGCATTTCATAATATGCAAAGAAAAAACCTAAGAGCTTCAAAGTGATTAAAGAAAGTAATTGACAGCGTGACTGAAATTCTATACCAGTACTTACGTATTCATTCCGGCAGATGTAAAATTGGTATTAAGAACTGATCCACATGTTGCTAGTCGGCTTTGGCACATTCCATCATCATCTGCTGTTTCATCTTTTGTTCCCTCCTCAAACTGGCTTTGAGTGGAAGGAGTGATTGTCAGGGTAGACAAGTCACGGTCTCGCTGATTAAGAGTTCCATCTTTTGGCATGATTTGATGACTATACTCGGAGTTGGTATCAAACTGAGAAGCTAAATCATACATAAATGTTAAAATGTGCAAGTAGTTAGCATTCTGAAAAAACAGTAGGACAAAGTTTCTCATATAAAACCTACTATTCATTCATTTTCATTCATTCAAACTTGAATACACTCTCTTCACCAACTTACCATCATCCATTTGTACAGCTTGCTTTAAACTCTCTCTCTTCAATCTTTCAGTTTATTAACTGTTGTGCTATATTTCTCCATGATATTTTCATTACTTATTCAGTTCTTTTAACACCTGCCATTACTTGTAATTTACCTGCAGTCAGCTTCAAGACCTCTACTGTCACAGCTAAACTCTCCATTTCTACTGCTCTAATAATTAATTTTTCACACACATACCATACTGTCAACTTGCATTTATATACAGTACTGTACATACAAATCAACGTAAGTACTCCTTCATACAGCCTTCTGGCTAACTGCATTCCAATCGTAATATGTTCTAATTGGGGCTTTCAGTACACCCACTACTATCCTTCCATGACTTGCCTTATTCTCAATTTTTTTTTTGTTTTTTTTCAAAAAATCCTCTTTTAATCAACTGAACATCCCATGTATTTAAATTGATCACCTACTTCCAGCTCTTCACCCTACATTTATTTAACTGACATAATTTCCTTCTCTCCACCACCATAACCTTACTGTACTTTTCTCCACATTCCCTTTTAACACCCAACCACTTGGGCTGGACGGTAGAGCGACAATCTCACTTCATGCAGGTCGGCGTTCAATCCCGGACCGTCCAAGTGGTTGGACACCATTCCTACCCCGTCCCATCTCAAATCCTTATCCTGACCCCTTCCAAGTGCTATATAGTTGTTAGTGCTTAGTACTTTTCCCTGATAGTTCCCTCCTGCCCTTTTAAGTCTTCTCACACACATGGAAAACCACTTTTAAGCAGTCTACATAAATATCACTCTCTGCTAACAGAAATGTATCAACTGAATACATCAAAATTAACTTACATCAATTACACATATTAGGCCTATACACTAGGCTTACATTTTTCTCACCTTCGTAGTCCGACTTCCCTAAGACCCCATCCATGTAAATAGGGAACAATGAAGGTGACACCACAGAAGCCAGGTGTACGCCTACATATACATAAACCAAGTATATTTTTTGTTCATTGCCCCTTAGTCTTAGAAACCACAGTCTTAGTCTTAGAAACTTAGTCTTAGGCAACCACAGGCTTCATAAAACCATGAATGCTTTTATGTAACTTCCATTTATAACCTTCACTTTCATAATTTCAATGTGCATTGAGAAAAGGAGGTAATGTGGTAAGCAGATAATATTTAGTAGACTAAGTCAAATTTTGAAAGACTGAACAAACAGAAAAAAAAGAAATCAATAAACAAATAAGATGAAGAGAAAATGAATCAGGATTGTGAGGAAATTAGGGGGAAAGATAAGAAAAAGTCAGATGAACATATAAATAATATAAAATAACTATAAATTAAGTGCAGCCATGTGGAATGTTATAGCTGTAAGGTCTTAGCCAATATATTACACTGCATTCCTAGGAAATGCAATACTCATTATCCTTCAAAGCATTTGGTAATTCAACTAATTTTAAAAAACAATTATTCCAATAGCCTCTAAAGAAAAACTCTAAATTGTTTACAGTTTGTATACAGTATTATGAAAGAATTAAGATAAATGACAATTTTTTTTTTGTATTTTGCCTTAAAGCATATGTGAAGATATTATCTATACAGCAAAAAAAGTTAGGTGACAACAAATTTAATTTAATACATGCATTTACCTGTTTGAGAACCACACAAAGAAGGAAGAGAATTCAAGATAGGAGAGAGCAGCACCAGACTGTGATTTTGTTCTTGTAGATTAGAGAGCAAATCTTTCATGCGTCGTGTGGCAGACTGTAGTGACATCACCAGTTGTTCGTCTTCATCCTCCGAGACACCCCATGGTGAGTCCAGATCACCCAGCTCATTACTGCTTATCTGCATACACATGGAATAACTCATCAAATTCAATTAAATTCTTAAGGGGGATAAATTAACAACACACACAGAGATCACACTAACGTGATGCATCAAATGAACAATATTTTAACCATGTCGTAGCTCAGTCGATTAAGGCAGTGTCTGGGATGCTCCCGGACGCAGGTTCGAATCCTCGTCACGGCCCTTGTGGATTCGTTCATAAATTAACAAATTTGACTTTATGCTACAATATATCAGTATTATAAAAATACATTTTACACTTCTCAAATATTATTTTAGATTTGGAAACCTATTAATGTGCATTGAATCTTGCAAAATATATATATAAATCTTGCAAAATATATATATAAAAATATATAATATATAATATAAAAATAATACACACACACACACACACACACAGTAAATGCTAGCAGAATTCTTAAACATTGTAGTGAAGAAAATCATACCTGCTCATATTCATCTAGAGCATCTTTGTATGATGCTATAAATCTAGATGGAGGGTCATCAAAGCTATCAAGCTCCTCTGAAAATAAATATATAAATGCCATGAGAAAAATAAGGCCATAATTGAAAATGAAATTCTCCTTTCTGCCAAGGATATGCAGATGTTCCTTATGGCAAGATCCATCCTGGTTCCACAGAGTGATTTATGACAGGACAAGTTTGAAAACGTTTATTTTGTGAGAGATCAACTTGATAATATTTGTTATGCAAATAAGGGATGGGAAAGGCTTTAATTGTTTTTTAGTAACTTTTCTGTTGTCACTCTAGCTAGGATTGAGCATTCTCCAGAAAAAAAACTTTATTGCATAGGCACAGACTGTTAATCTTCTCCTCACTGTCATGATCCACTCCTTTGGAACCAGGATGGATCTTGCCTCAGGAATTACCAAAGTGTCATAATTCAAATATTATTTCAACACACACAAGTTGAAAGTATACAAAGATGAAAACCAGATTTTCATTAGGGTCAGAATTCAAAATTGTAAACGAAGGATAGAAACCCACACTTATGTAAAGATTTACACAGTCTTTTGCACTCGCCTGAGTGCTTTATCAAGGTCTGAATATATGGTTAAGACGAGACATCTCAACAACTAATATGATTGCTATCCAGGATCAAGTCCTCTTATCCTTCTTGACCTCCTGACCATGTCACCTCTATTCCTGACTGCCGACGTACCTGTAGGGTTTGTCTTCTATGGAATTATGGTCCTGTCTGTCATATTGATATAAAAAAAAATCCTGCTATTAACAACTAACCCGAGAGAGGAACAATCTTGGTCCTTGGAGGCGTCAAAACCTGTGCTGCTGACACTGTCAAACCCACTCCTGCCGGCAGACCTTTGACTTGTGTGGTTATAAGGCTCAGCTTTTCTCTCAATCTTTTGTTCTCATCGTTTAGGTGATTGACCTGATTAACATACAGTAAGGAATATTTCTTAAAACATAACATATCTTGAGAGAATATAAGAATCTTGAACAAATTATTACTTTCACTTTTAACAAACATTTGTGTCAGAAACTACAGTACTTGTCATTTAAAGTGTAAAAGATTAAACATTAATTATTTACCATGCAGCAAAAAAATTATCCATTACTGTACAGTATTTATGAATTTAAACCCAGCTTATATTAACCAAGCATTATATAATCAGGCATTCATCAATTACATTCCATATCTTCGGTATCTCAAAAATATTGTGTTAAAATTTATAAGTACAAAATAATGTATTCTTAAAAACTTACATTTTGTAAATGAGTAAAAAGTACAAAAACAGTGGTACAGTAATTGTAAATTTAATCTTAAATATGCAAATCAAACTCAAGAAAATATACCTGCTTCGTGAGTCTTCTGTTTTCTTGTGCAGTTTTGGCTAACTGCCTTGTGAGATTCATATTCTCTGTTGATAGTGAAGAAAACTTCTCCTTGAGAGAACAACATTCTTGATGCTTTGTATGTATCTCCTGGTTCAGCTGCAAGTTTTTCTCTCTAAGTTTAATACTGTTTTCCTGTAAATATAATGGAAAAAACATATAATACCAAATAAACAGATGAGGAAGTACAACATTTACTTAAAACACAGTACTATGCACAAAAGTGAGAGAGAGGCATTCTATTCACCACTGTGTCTGCACCACCTCACAACTCCACCTTTCATTTCGTCATTGTTTCATAATTACATTACAACTCCACTACCGTACTAATAGTAGTAGTAGGCATCCATCAGTCTCAGGAGACTATGGAGTTGCGCTCTAGTGTCGGCCTGGTCTGGAGTGGCCTTACCACTCCAGTGGTAAGGCCACTCCCACTCCCACTCCCACTCCCACTTACCACTCATCCAGTGGCCACTGGCCTCCAGTGGCCACTTGAGTGGCCTTACCACAGGCCAGTGGTGGAGTGGCCTGTATACTAATATCCTCATTACATTTACACTACCTCACACTCCACCATTCACTGTTATAACCAATTTTGTCTGCATTTCAGATTGTGGCCATGCTTTTCTACAGTTCGCTTTTAACTCAACAGTATAAGATTATATGATAATAAAATTATGACCACTTTAGAAAGATAAATATTGACCCGAACTGGAATTTATCACACAGATTTGCGTACACTAATAACTAATCTAAACTAATCTATGTACAGTGTAAACTGAAACTGTAGATGCAGATGTAGACTAATTATTTTAAGTCAGTGATAAGGTAATTGAAGTCAAAGGCTTTTTAAGTCAGTTGTAAACCACTGATATTGCAAGCCAGTGGATATAACCAGTAATATTTCCTGTTTGCAGTATTCTAAACATGTTGCTATATAAGCCAATGATATTGTAAACCAAAGGTACTGTATTGTATTGATATTATAAAGCCAATGATAGGCAACTGATACTGAAAACAAATTGTACTGCGTACTAGAGGTATTGTAATCCAGAAGTATATCAAATTAGAGGAGAGACAAACACATCAAACCAATAAAACACCACTAATCCACAAACACAACAAACATCAAGCTAAGAGTGATTTTAATACATTTAAATTATTTTTTTACCAAGAGTCTGCTCAATATAGGCCAGTTATGATTATAACCATTCAACACTGAATGAGTTAACAATATGAATGGATTATTCCAAGGATGCTTTGCGATCAGAACAGCAAAGTATAGTTTGTGCGAAAACCGTGCTAGAACACAGAAACTGACGGACATGTATTGGAAGGATGATGTTTCCTAAAGAGACTAAAAAAAAGTAACCCAACCTACACACATGAAAGGAAAGGAAAACAACAATGTTTATGTCCAGGATGGGACAAAATGTCGTCACTTTTCTTTCTTTCTTTTCATGTGTGTGTGTGAATTGGGTTACTAATTTTTAGCCACATAATTATGACCCTGTGTAGACTATAAAGACACCAGGATAGCTTTTCAGGCAAAATAATTATATGATTCATTAAGAGAAGGTAAATACTGTACCTGCAGTTTTCCAATTTCTCCAAAAAGCTCAGACTTTCCACTAATAAGTCTCTGGTTATCATCTTCTATGAGTGCCATTTTCTTCTGTAGTTTGTGGTATCGCTCCTTCATGTTTCTAAGAGCAACCTGAAGCAAGGTGGAATGAGCACGTCGTGGTTAGATACAGCAATATCATGCACATCCAGTTAAGCGAGTGAACTCGGCAAAAACAAAAACATTCATAAGTACAGTATTGTATTACAGTTCTTTTTGTATTTATTTTAAATGCTCTATGTTACACAGACAGCAAAGCAAACCATGCAAATTCTTGCATTTACTCACATTTACACATCATTTAAGTGATGTACATGTACTCGCACAATCTTTTAAAATTGATCTACTCTCTTACTGAAATCTCTTCCTTCAATCCTTACATCACTTAATCCCTCACAGCACAGTGATTAGTGCAGTAGGCTCACAATTGATTTGTCCTGGGCTCAAGTCCCAGTCAAGGCTAGATGTTTTATCATGTTTCTTTACACCTGATGCCTCGGTTAACCAAGCAGCAAATAGGTACCTGGAAGTTAGTCTATTGTTGTAGGTTGCAGTCTGAGAAATAGCGAGATGTTTGCTCCCTGTGCACAACAATGGGAACCCATACCATCTCTCACAGCCCTGAGCACTGATCTGTGACAAATTTCCTGGATACTACTTTATTACATAGGCACTAATTGCGTGTTGCTCGTAAAACATTATACATCACAACCTAACTCAATGCCACCTTTCTTCATTTACTAATCAAGCTAATTTGTTCAAAACTTTATTACATTTATTCCAATGTTTTCATACAAAATTCATCTCTAATATGAAGTCTTGTATCATTCCTCTTACATGCTAAACTCACATATTACTCATAAACTTGATCAGAATTTTTTAATTCTTACATTCCAATGAGTCATCAAAGAGCTCTTCAGTTTGACATTTATTAAGAGTTTCAGTATACATTACTAACTCTAGACTTTCATCTATCCTTCTTTAAATTTCAGCAATGTTTTAAGGGAACTCAAGCTCAAACAAAGTTAAGCAAATAGCAAATGCCTTAATGGTAAATAATGGCAACAAAAAAGCTTAACATAAGCAGGAATGCATAAACAGCCCAAAAGGATGAAAAATATGGGAAATTCACAGCATGTAAAAAACTAAGCACCTATTATTATTATTATTATACATGTACTAACACTATATGGAATAAATATATGCTGAGAAACTTTGCATCAATTTTACCTGTAGAGCGTAAGTGGAGCCTGAAGCGTCTATGTTATAGTTAGAACCTCTCTCTGGAGTCCGTGGGCTGGCTACAGGACTGCTGGATGAATATGGGGTGCCTCGGTCTGATCCACTGCAAGGTAACACATGTCTAAAGTTACATATAGTTTATACAATGAAAATTAACATCAAATAGCTAGATAAATAGTTATAAAAATTGAGTGGCACCTAATCCTTTCAATGTTGACAAAGAAGGACCATGTAACATTATCAGGCCAAATTTCTTCACCTTCCGCCTGAAATCAAAAAGATTCAGAGAATAACTTTTAATATAAAATAGAGGTAAAAACAAAGAGTTGAAGATACTAAAACATTCCCCTGAGACTTTCTCATCCTACCAGAAACCAGGACTGATATTTGGCACACTCAAAGATGCAAAGGAAGCACATACAGATGAAAGATGAACCCATAATCTAAGTAAACTGCTCAGAAAGTTGAATACCTAAACTAATCATCAACATCTCTATGAGAAAAGAATGAAAATTCCAAACAACTCAACTGATACTTGGCAACTACACCTACCCCAAATCTCCCTACTGCCACCAGGTGGCAGCTCAAGTCAACTGGAGTGAAAGGTAAATGCACAGAAATAATTATGGAAATGTGAAATTATGATTGACCATGAAATAGCTCAAACTAACAAATGGAAAACAATAAAATGTACCTCCCCCCCTCTCCCTCTCATCGACATACTAACCAAGTCACTGCCTTAAATATTACCAGGCTTCTCTCCCAATATGAGCGGTGGTGATGATAGTCTAAATAATCACTAACAGCTAACATTTGAAGTGAATATCTCGATGTTACGTGTAATTCATATCTTGCCTACAGACTCTTTTTCTGACGAGGCCTATTTTTTATTGCACAAGATCCTTGGCAAACAAAATTTAATATGGCAAATGAATTTGAAGTTAACAATGAATTTCATTATAACATATAAATTTACAGTATTTTTATCAAGCAGTAAGGTAATAGCATCTAGCCCCAAATTTGGGTGCATAAATCAGTCATATATAATCAATACTATTGTTATATCTATTATATACTTTCAAAACTTACCCTACTGAGTGCTTTCTCTCTTGCCTTGGCTGAGGAGGAACAACTGGTGCTCTGAGTGCCCCAGCCGGGCGGTACTCAGGCACTCGATAGTCTGAAGCAGTTGTGTGATACTCGGTGCTAGGGACTTGGCTATCAGAGCTGGGTGAAATATATTCTGTTGTTTCTTGAGTTCCAAGAATGCTTACATCATCCTCCACTGGCTCAGCCATAATTACAACTAGAATAAAATTATAAGTACAGTAATTCTTAAATATATAAATGCCTCTTTACAAGTTGTCTCAATGAAAATACTTGATCTACACACACTTCCTCAAGAGAATAAAAGCCAACCAAATCTTTGGAATAATCAAATGACCTTTGACTTTAAGGAAAAGAAAGTTGTTATTCAGTTTTACAAATATCTGGTGTGCACCTACTGTATCCAAGCATGGAGACGATGAAATTTATGTACAAAGTGACAAAAATCATACCATAACTAAGTCTTATACCAGAAAAGATTTAAGGCCTCAGGTCTAAATAACACTATAAACAAAATACAGCAAAGTTGATCATATTGAGGCATTTAAAATACTATACTGAACAAATAGGAACATATTAATCCAAACCATTTCTTTAAAAGGTCCAATGCAAAGCTCACAAGGGATAACATCTTCAAGCTTATCAACAATATAAAAAGACAGGAGATACTTTTCATCCCATAGGAAAATATACCAATAGAATTGCCTAACCGCTGAAGCTGTAAATGCCAAAATAGTTCTCCAGTTCAAAAATCAGCAGGAAAGAATCCTCAGGAATAATGGGGAACCTTTGACTAGCTGCCAGTTTCCTGTCCCCATCAAGGCCACTACAGAGTTTGACTCTTAGGCAAATTCAGGTGCAGAAATTTTATGCACTGGAAGGACTGGCCATACTATAGAAGCTTTGGAAAGGTACCAATAAATATTGTTACTTCCTTCACATTCTCCTTTACTGAAAGAAATAGGACAAACCTCAACATAAAATCAAACATGAAACTAATATGCAGAGTCCCGAGTATGAATAATACAGTATTGCCACTTTCTCAACTATCAGATTGCCAGATTCTACAATGACTGAGTAACAAGCTATCCAGCAGTCACTGACTAATAACTGGTAAACAGCAGACAATGACATACTGATAAGCTACATCAGTGATAAAGAAGTTCTGATAATACCCTGTATACTTTCGCTCAGTGCATCACATTGAATTTAAGTACTGTAACATAAAAAAGTTCCCTCACTGTATAACTTAGAGTCCTGTTAGTATCTTGCTGCTCAAAAACCATGTTGACCTATGCTGTATACTGTAGCTTACCTATTTTAGAGACCCAACAGTGTATAACCTGCTGAATGATTGATGTACACATTATTCACTGCATCATATCCCATGCAGTGTTACCTTGTATCCAAAGATCACAAATACAACTTTAATTAATATAATTTCTTATCAGCACTTTACATTAATATAATTTACTTGAATTTACCCGAGGACCACCATCTCTCTTGTGGCCTCATTGAGGACAGGAAGACAGTGGCTTATCAAAGGTCCCACCCCCCAATTGTCCTGATAATTTTATCAAGCTGGATCTTATATTGTAGAAGCGTTTTGGCATTTACGGCTCAAATGGTTATGGTAGTTTCGACCCATTGGGTTTATAACCCAATGGGTGGAAAAGCATCTCCTGTTTTCTGTTTTGCATCGTTGTTTGTTGAGCTTGAAACCATTGCTCCTTGTTCATGTTATATCTGACATTTTGAAGTAGTAGTCTATCAATATCCTCTAAATTGTTCATTATTTATAACTGTCACTAAATTTGTTTTATATTCAAGACTGACTGTTTCACCTTGTACTTGAAAATTCAATGCAAATTCAGTGTTAGCTCAAAGACTTGCTGAAATATTATGGTTAGTGGCTTTGCAAGAATGTATCATTAAATCACTGACGTATGTACTTTCACAACCCAGTGTACTTCCTTCTATATATACCCTGGAACAGTATAAATAAACATAAAAATAAACATGAGTGATACTCTCCTACTTGTTGAAAACATCATCACCCAGTATTATAAGGCTTCATATACCTCAGCCTTATGGTGGATATATAATACATCTGTTCAATCACCTTGATGACCAGTCAACCAAGCAAACAGGAATAAAGTTGGCTTCGTTCTCGACTCATAATCAGGGGATCCCCCCCCCCCCGACAATGTGAATAAACACCGGAAAGAACCAAATAATGCACGAGACCGAAAATAATAAAATTAAAAGTTGTTTGTTGATATACAATGCATTATAGGTCAAGTTTCAATATGTCTATCTTGATAATTGTATATACAGTATTTAAAAATATGAAAAGGAAGGGGAAAAGATAGTACCGAAATGAGTGAAGTCGAATCAAGTTGAACCAAGCCAAGATTAAGCAAGATGAACCGGGTCAAGCCAAGATAAAGCGAGATGAACCAGGTCAAGCCAAGATAAAGCGAGATGAACCAGGTCAAGCCAAGATAAAGCGAGATGAACCAGGTCAAGCCAAGATAAAGCAAGATGAACCAGGTCAAGCCAAGATAAAGCGAGATGAACCAGGTCAAGCCAAGATAAAGCGAGATGAAACAGGTCAAGCCAAGATAAAGCGAGATGAACCGGGTCAAGCCAAGATAAAGCGCGATGAACCGGGTCAAGCCAAGATAAAGCGCGATGAACCGTATCAAGCCAAGATAAAGTGAAATGACCTGGATCAAACCAAGCCAAGCAAACCCAAATAGAACAGAACCAAATCTAACCTTACCTCACCTAATAGGGTGCACTAATTCCTAAAATATAATTAAGACTGTGCTTGTTAAACATTCTTGCCAACTAATCTTGTGCAAACACACTGACCACAGTTTTAGTAAAGAATACACTCAGAAATAATAAAAATTTATCGTGTCCTTGACAATACAGAATCTCATTAAAGATTACAGAATTATCATATATTATCGATTTTGGACATCCTCGGAGATTTAACATAGAAATCATGTAAACTGTAGAGGTTATTTGAAGCTTAGGTTTGCATTCATAATAATTTTGTAAAAAGAGAAAATCTAATTACTGTATTATTAATCTCATTCCAGTTTCGATTATCAGTTTTGTGTATGTCGGAATAAAGACATAAGGGCTAAAATACGGATATATTCAAGGTTTTATCGCTTATTCATACCTCATCTGCGTCATTTTCATATATAATTCCATATAAGCTACACAAATACAAAAACACATCAATGTTTTGTTTTTCCGTGAATCAGTATCACGAACAAATCACCAGCTGACGAGCGAACATTTTCCAGCGACCAACTTAAGTGAGCAACTATATATAAGCGCCCTCTGGCGCATATTTTCCACAACTACTACAATAACTACTACACTACAAGACTAACTACACTAACAATACTACAATAACTAACTACACTACTACTATAAGAACTACTACAATAACCATGGTAAACTAAATTTAAATAAATTACCATGACATGAAACAAATATTAGTTCATATATGGTATGAACATATATGGTATGAGTATGTTAATCATCAGGAAAAAGTGCTAATATAGTATGACTCTGGTCCTTTAATGCTCAACAAGCCACAATGTAGAACTGAGAACAGATGTTTTTTCACTCACAGTGTGTTATTAACCCATGGAACCGCCTACCCGCCGAATCCGTAAGGGCAAAAAATCCGTTAACCTTTATAGTACAGATGGAAAAGATCATTAAGGCAAATGGGGAGACTTTCGACAAGCCCCCGACTTCCTGTCCTCGTCGAGGCCACTAGTTTTGTAGCTCTCAGGTAAACTTACGGTTTGGGGGGGTATGTAGTTCCATGGGTTTAATTCGTTTTGTTGGGGGTTCAATCTTGAGGTTATCTTGAAGGAAGCCCGTCCCCAGTTTTCAAGAATGTAAGAACATTAATGTTATGTACTCTCACAAATCCAATGTACCTTCTTGTATATCAATAAATAAATATATAAATAACAATAAATGTAAGGAAGAGAAGAACCCCATATATTATAATGACTGAATCCATTACTTGTATGATGACATGAAGTTTCAGCAATTTTAAAATTAGTGTAAATTTCCCATGGGTCGGTGGCTGATCATGATGCCAGCTCTACCACTACTACATGTAGACATATATTCATTTAAATGCTGTAAAAGATAGTCATTATTGTATACTATGTTGCATATAAATGTCTAGTAGAGGTTCGAGAGAGTAAAAGTAGGGTTAGATGTAGAGTGATACAGAGGAAGTTTGGGAATATTGTGGTCAGCTCGACTCTCCTGGGAAATAAATTGCACAAGCATTCTTGAGTATGTGTCAACTGTGTCAACTTTGTGAAAGAGAAAACATGCACTCCCTTGAATATTTTCAAATGCAAATCAAATCAAATCATGTGTGTAGAATGTCCCATATTGACTGACTTTCGCCCTCCTGGACTGAGGTATGCTGAACTCTGTAACTACTATATGAATACTGGAACACACTATATTTCCCTAAATAAATATATGAATAACAAATATATAAATATTTGTTATTTATATATTTATTTAGCAATTATATTAATTGTTGTCATAGCAATTGTCATAGCAATTAATATAATTGCTATGACAAATAACAATTATACAATTTGGTCAACAAACGACATTGATTACAATAGTAAGACTTGGTTGACATTTAGGGGTAAGGTAGGTTACATGGAGTTTATTAGGTAGTTTTTAGTTTTTATCTTAAACTGGTTGAGAGAGGTACAGTCTTTTACATGATTGGGAAGGTCATTCCACATTCTGGGTCCTTTGATTTGTAGAGCATTTCTAGTTTGATTAAATCGTACTCTTGGAATATCAAATAGGTATTTGTTTCTGGTGTGGTGCCCATGGGTTCTGTTACAACCTTCTAAGAAGCTTTTAAGGTCATGATTGACATTACAGTTCAGAGTTTTAAATATATAAAATACACATGAGAGGATATGCAGTGACTTAATATCTAACATATTTAGATATTTGAGTAAGGGTACCGAGTGATGTCTGGGGCTAGAGTTCGATATTGTTTTAATAGCAGCTTTGTGTTGAGTAATTAGAGGACGTAAATGATTTTGGGTAGTAGAACCCCAAGCACAAATACCGTAGTTGAGATAAGGATAGATTAGAGAGTAATAGAGCGTCACCAGGGCAGTGCGAGGTACATAATGTCTGATCTAGAAAGAATGCCAACAGTTTTAGAAACTTTTTTTTGCTATATTTAGAATGTCTGTATATAAGATGTCTGTTTAGAATGTCTATATTTATGTCTGTAGGTTAAATTAGCATTTTAAAAGCACTGCAATCTCCTACTGTGGTTAATTGTTCAATAAATCCCTGAACTATATGTTTAACAGATCTCTCACCCTCTCCATGGAAGGCAGAAAAAAATGTATATATGCTGTTTAACATTGTAAATGTGTGGCCACGTCTGTGGTAGAAAATAATAAAAAAAAACTCCTGTAAGTAAAAGGTTCTAATTTGGAAGCATCGACACTTATATGCAATATTTGTTCAGCTAATTTTTAAAGGTACAGATAATCTACACATGGTACATTTAATGGCAGATTATTTGTGTATATTACAAATACAAGTTAGAACTCGCATGATAGCTATACATCGTAAAATTATGTTATCCCACATACAAGAGTTTCATCTATTCATCCCGTTACAAGATAAAGACGCACCAGTACTCAATAACCTCATCTTATCTGCTACTATCATCTCACAGCAGCTAAAGAAATGTACGGCAAAAAAAACAAAATTGGAAGCCTATGCCGATATCGAAGGTGAGCGATCGTTGAGGAGATGAGAAAAATGAGGACGTCGGCGCGGTAAATATTGGGACCAAGGTTGGTGAGTCTTGGTATAGTGAGGTGTGAGGGATGAGGTGTGAGGGATGAGGTATGAGGGATGAGGTGTGGGAGTAAAGGTGAGGTATGGTCGTGAGGTATGCGGTTGAGACCCGAGGGTGAGGTGTTATCGTTTTAGGTGTGGTGATGTAGACAATTGTATCGCAGATAGCCAGAGGAAAATAAATAACCCTTTATCTAGGCTGGGAGTCTAAATATTCATGTA